TATTTGCAATCACAGTAGATGGAAAAAGGTTAGGGTTCAAACTTTGGATTTTATTTTGAAAATAAAGTTCTTCCGGAAACAGGAAGTGGTCATTCAGACGCTAGCAGCAGAAGGTGATAGCCACTCTTGAATCTGAGAAGCTACAATCTTCCTTCCAGCACTTAACTTCACAATTCACCCATCCGTGTTCTCGAAGAGTTTGCTTTGTGTTAATCCCTAAAAGGTAAAACACTTACACCACGCGACTTTTATTAAATGGAGCGTTTTTGTGTCTAATTTGAACTGAAAAGGCCGATGCTAACGCTAGTCAGTTAGCACAACTATTAGCATAACTATTCGCTAACATCTCGCACTCCGATGTTGCACAGTCAGAAAGTTAGTGAAGTGATTAAAGAGAGAGGTTGTGTTCACTATGAATTCACTGCGACGAGAACTGTTGGATTGAAACTGATTTTCTGTAACATCGTGCAGACATGGCTGCGGATTGGTTGGGTAGTTTAGTGTCCATCAACTGCGGTCCAACACTGGGAGTCTATCAAGGAGAGGTGACATCTGTGGACCAGTCGAGCCAAACCATCTCCTTGAGACAACCTTTCCATAACGGAGTCAGATGTCCTGTTCCCGAGGTCACATTCAGGTAAAGCACTGCATCTGATTTCCCCCCTGGCTCTTTGTGCACTCTGATCTGATTCACAACTTCACTTCATTCCTCCATTTTTTTCCTGCAGTGCCATTGATATAAAAGAGTTGAAGATCTTAGACATCAGAAATGGCAATGCCCGGACCAGCTCTTCTGCATCCACAAAAGTAGGCAGTGCTCCAGTTGCAGTCCCAAAGGGAGACCCCAGACCGACGGAGAAGCCAAACTCTCCACCGCACTGCTCAAAAAGCTATGGAGACCGTCACCTGGATGTTCCTGGTCAGCCCAAAGGATTCCGTCGAAGACACAACTCCTGTAAGTGCAATTTTATACAATCAAACCAGAGTAAAACAACAACAGTACAGTTGATTGCTCAGGTGTAGAGATTAAATACGTATTCACTGTCCCATCAGGGTCGGCCAGTAGTCGAGGAGTAAACCAAGTGACGCCAAAAAAGAACGGGGTGAAGAATGGTCATATGAAGCACAGAGATGATGAGTGCTTTGGTGATGGCGTGGACGAAGAACTTGACACAGACTTTGATTTTGAAGGAAACTTGGCACTTTTTGACAAAGCAGCCGTTTTCTCAGAGATCGACGTATCAGAGCGTCGTAACGGCGCAAGGTCGCGTGGGACGCCACAAGAGCAGACCCCCTCGCGGTACCGTCACGATGAGAACATCCTGGAGGCCAAACCTATTGTGTACAGACAGATAACTGTACCGCAGCCTGGAGCCAAAGAATATTGCACGGGTAAGTATTTCACAATCTTAAGAAATAAGTGGTGGAGAGGGGAAATATTTGTGACTTAATTTGTGTCCTTTACTCTCTCCTGTACCCGTTCAGACTCTGGACTTGTTGTACCCAGCATATCCTACGAACTACACAAGCGCCTGTTGTCAGTTGCTGAGCGTTACGGTCTCTCACTGGAGCGAAGACTTGAAATGACTGGAGTGTGCGCCAGTCAGATGGCACTTACATTGCTGGGTGGGCCCAACAGGTATGTGATGGTTTCTCATGTCAGTATGTATTATACGCTAACATGTGACATGGTATATTGGTATATTTGCACATGATCACAGAGTGTTTAGTGTTGCAATTAGGGTCAAAGTTTGAAAGAAAAAAAAAAGAAGCTATGTACTAAATATCAGAGACGTGGCTGTTGGTTATCTAGTGATATGGAGGCTCAAAGTGTTTTATATGACATGCATTAAAACTATTAAATGAACAATGAGAAAACAAGCAGG